ATATATATTTTTTTTTTTTTTTCGATTTTCCAGAATTCAAATGGTCAATAATTTATATTGTGGCATGACTCAATGATTTTATGCTTCACTTATTTTAGTCTAATTTCATTTGACTCATTTTTGACTTTACATATTTAATGGTTCTCATATTATATGCGGATATTCCATATTCCAGTTTCACTCATTTAACGGGGAATGAGTACGATTTCATTCGTTCCAATCATAATCAAGTGGTAAGTTTTTCTAATGTGCGTTGTGACATATACTTTGAGTATTCAAACACATTCCATGCCCCAGTTACAGGTGCTCCTCATATCATTCATCACGTAAAGATAATTTAAATGCTGATAAATCAATCAGAAATAAATGTTTCACTCCTTTCTCCTTTCTCAGTTTTGGTGCATTTCAAAGGTAATTCAAATGTATGGTGCTTAATTTCCACTTGGTTTTCTGTCTGCTGTCTGACAGTTCTAGCTATGTCATATAACATATCAGAGCTGTTGATTAACCCATCGCAGCTCAACTCCCTTCCGCTGCCCCAGCTACTGCCCCACATTCACTGAGCGAGTGGTAAGTACTTTATAGGGTCGAACCATTCGAATCATGTAGATTTGTCGGCTGTCGCTCGGCGTAGAACATTCAAATTACAACTGTTGCTGGGAATTGTCGAGCATATTGGGGACATTTCAAAATGTCAGTTAATAAATGACGCATAAGCCATCAATCAAATTGCCAATTGGCAACAACAACAACAGCAAGAGCAACACCAATAACGATGGTAACAATACGTTGCATGAATCACATTTTGAAAGCTTTTGGCCCTGAACAAAACCGAAAATTACAAATTACAGGACGCATCCAACATGCGCATGAGAAGCGTGGAGAGAGGCGGTCCGTTGTGTTAAATAAATAATTTCATTAATTTCACAAATTGACAGGGCTTTTGACGAGAGCTTCAACAAGCCCAATGTGGGATATACATGAGCTCAAGGGCAAAAAATTATGTAAAATACACTCACACACCCACTCACACACAACATACACGTGTCACATGCATCATAACAAATAAATAAATATGAAAAATGTGTATTTTAAGACATGCGATTTGTAGTTTAATTCGTAGACTTGTCGGACAATGCAATTTTTGCGAGAAGTTTTTGCTTTTAATCCATGCAAATGTTGTTGCTGTTCACTTTGGTTGTTGTTATTGTTGTTTAGAGTGTTTTGTTTGTTGTTTATGTGTTTGGTTTTTAGTTGCTCTCAATAATAAATGCCAAATTAAAAATAATATATATATTT